AGGAATACAAATACTATCTCCTCTAGTCCTGCTTGAGTTTATCGTTCCAGGTATAGCACAATCCCATATTATCCGCTTCGGATGGTAGGAACCCCAGGAATACAAATACTATCTCCTCTAGTCCTGCTTGAGTTTATCGTTCCAGGTATAGCACAATCCCATATTATCCGCTTCGGATGGTAGGAACCCCGGGAATACAAATACTATCTCTTTTAGCCCTGCTTGAGTTTCGTGTTCCAATTATAGCACAATCCCATATTACGTCAACCTTATTTAATTCAAATTACTTGTTGCTATTTTTGTTTTTATGTACGTTTTCTTTTATTTCTGTTGTGAATTTAGTTGTTCTACTTATATTTATAAATGTTTTAAGTAATATAAGCGTCACATATTTTACTCAATTTAAAATATTTTATCGTAAATCAGTATAATTTGGCCAGTGGCCACCACACATAAGTCAATACAAACAATAACAATAATAATAATTACAAATCACTTACGGCCGTGTAGCAAAAACTGCAAATACTATGCCGTTGGAGTAGTAAATGTCTCCTGCGGAAGAACAAATAACAAAATAATACTGTTATCATTAACGATGTTGTTAAAGATTGTTATGTTTACATTGCTTCCACTGTATTTCTTAATAGCGCCCTCCTTTGACAGGTAATCTGAGAACCATGCTTTACACTCATCCATAGACAGTAGATTTCTCACAGTGAATTTGTGCATCGTTATCCCACATTTTCAAGGCACAAATTTTCCTTGTCGCTCCTTGCTAACTGTATTCAGCGCTTAGTGAAGCATTGCTTGTAAGTTGATTCCAGTTTTATTCCTTGTCAAGAGGTATTTCAAGTAGTTTAGAGGCCTTTATAACGGCGGTTTTCATGTCAAGTTTACCTTGTTTACACATGTATATACCCACATGTTGACATGTTGTGTAAGGATGCAACAACATTATAACACACCAAGCGATCCACGTGTTCATGGGGATGTGTGTGGCTATTTTCTGCACTTACAAGCCTGTTAAATAGACATATTTTAGGGCTCCGTGAGCTTAGTATTTACATGCACATGTACTCGTTCGACTAGTTATTAGCATGAATCTCAGTGTATTTTGAGACTAGAGACTCATACATGTGTAATGTTTGTGTAGTAATACTGTAGTCCACGTATCCATAGCTTGTATTTTCTTGTTTACTACGCAGTTTTACTCCATGTCAATGACATCATCATCCAGTGTGACCAAATATTAAAACACCGGCCGGATCTACATGTGGAGCTATTTCCTGACTCCCATTTCGTCAGCGATAGGAGTTTGGCTGGCTGCCAAATTGAGATTAGAAACATCTTAAGGAGGGCAGTACAAAGATGCTTACTAAATTCAAACGGCCTGAAAAATGAAGGTGTAATTCTGTTGTATTGGTAGCGCTTGAGCGATGGCTAGGGGCGGAAACTGAGTCTCCGCAGGGTGGAGACTCAGGTTCTCCCGGTAAGGGATGGATTGAACGACACAATCGGATCACCGTTGGAATTTTGTTGACTGCCCAGTGCCCGAACAGGCGCTGGGAAGGGCTGTTGGTCCTGCACAGCTTTTAGTGAAGGAAAGACGTCACACGGGGTCACAGCTAAGGACGTGCAGAGCATTGTGGGCAAATTTCTGCCAGGTGCACGAGCTCTCTCAATGCCCGACACCAGCGGCGGTTATCAATGCGCTATTTTTTTTTCTTCCTCATTGCTGAAAAAATTCTCAATACCCTTTTTTTGTCCATCAAAATTGACCGAGATAACCAATGATTTGAAATATATTGCCAAAAGACACGTGATCAGTGATACTTAGTGTTAAGATAAATTACTACACTGTGATTGTTCCGAGGCCATGTTTTTATTATAGCAGAGACTTTGCCCGAACCAAAAAAAAAAATTAAATAACGCTTGCCAACAGGAAAAGCTAATCTGGCGGTCACAGGTCGTGCATAATAACGCCAATCACAGCGCAAAGCCATAAGCCGCCCTTCCAAGCGCCCTGTTTGGGCGCTGGGCGATGAGCAAAAGTTGGAGTAAATTATTATTTCCACAACTAGTTGATGATTTAAAAGAAAAAACCCTTACACCAATGGTTCTAAGTCCCGGAACAATTGTCTTTTGGACCACTGCAGGCCTGAATCGTCGGAACAGGTAAAACCTGCAGCAGGGATCTCTTGACATGGTCGCAGCTTCCCTTCATTATAGCGTCAGCCATAGAAGAAGAGCGCGCGGCGCCGGGGGGACACCGCAGGCTCAGCAAATCGAGCTAAACATAAAGGCAAAGGGCTGAGGGCGTGCGTCACTCACGATCATTAAAATGTGGGCAGCTTTCCACATTAATTACATTCCCTTTAACGGTGGAATAAATTTTCTTAGACTCACACTTTGTGCATCTTCATATTTTTCTTCAATGTATGAAAACTCTTGTCCTGAACAACAGTTTTCAACAATTGTCCAAGATCATCCAAACTAGTGAGGCCGCTGTTGATGTGATGTAAGTCCGGGAGGCACTATTCAGTTTACATGTTTTCGTGTTAAAATTATGAACCCTAAATTTGCTGTTTGAAAACATTCTGAGAAAAGGCTTATTGTACTATGAATTGCACGAGAATGAATTGCCAAAGAAATGGACATTGACTGCATTAAATACAAACAATTCCATCAATTTTTGGTCCCCACAAGTCAATGCAATGTTGAAGTTTAGTGTTTCAGATGACATCACTCCTTTGCTTAGGGAAAGGCGTGCAGTGTCAACAATTTCATTACTATTATTTAAGTACTGGAAAAAACACAACAACTTATTGTAAAATACAAACAAGGGCCCCATTTTCTCTTTTGGATCCGCAAAAATGATGTACACATTGGGCATATACCGTCACAGTTTTCACGAGGAGACAGTTTAACTAAAAATCAAGACTTTTCAGGTTATTTGGCAAAAATTAACTAGGCTATGCAATGCCTACAAGTTCATGTAATCATTTTTAACCAAATCTACTGAAATCACCTAAATCACGTTTATCTCTGTGAGGTAATATTCAACTAAACTGCATTCTTAGTTTTCACGAAGAGACAATTTTGTCTTCCATAGATATAACGTTGACAAAAAGATGAAAACCATGGGCAAAACTGGTTTTGCAGTTTTCACGAATTCAGAGACAATTTGACTCCAGACAATGTATACAAATGTAACAATGTTGCACCTGGCACACGCGCTATAGCGAGAGCGTGTACTGTGTGTTCAGTTTTCACGAAGAGACAATTTCAAGCACAAATTTTAGGATTTCACGAACAGAAAATCTTGTTTGTTTACAAAATAAATAACTTTAATTAACCTCTACAAATATTAGTTTTGCAGTTTTGTGTCATGTAACATCCCCTCTTTCATGGAGTAGCTTTGGTGATTTTAAAGGAACGCTAAAGTTTACGAAATTAAGCGTTTGAATAAGAATAAGCGTCTGTAAATTGACTGGTTGGAAAAACAACATGAGACTTACGTATTTCGTTGTAGAAATATGGAAACGTTGTACCCGTTGAGCATTCCAGCCGCGCCTTGACAAAGGTTACGATGTCGTTGAGTCCAAAGTCCTGGAATGCTCGCCCCCCTTTATCATTCTGTTAAGAGTGGAAATAATAATATTCTCTTATGAATTTGAAAGGATGAGAGATGAAAGGAAAGAGGACGAAAGAAGGGATCAGTCAAATAATAACTATCACTGCCGATCCTACCTCGCATACGACTGCAACTCTTGAATACACGGCTCTCCCTTCGACAAACTCAGCAGCAACCTCACGGTAAAAGAAGTAGACGCGTCCATTGTAGCTGATTGGGTCTCCAACAAACTGTGGACTTGGTCTATCACCTGTTTACGAAAAATATGC